GGTTACGGTTAATTTTTCTTGGCAGTTTCTTATTCTTAGTTCCTAACAACTCCAAACTGATTATTCCAACTCAACTATCTGACTCCACCTAACAATTCTCTCACTCTCTCACAATACAACTCTACCAACCCACACCTAAATCTCCCTCTTCCTTCTTCAACTCCCAAACCTCAACTCAACTCAACTCCCAAACCTCACAATCTCATTTCTTGTAACTTGAAGCCATTGGTTTAGGTCCAAAGAGGAGAAAACAGGTTTGCTCCATCTTCTATGTGACAGTCCTATAGATATCGAAAGATGGCTATCATATCTCCTCTCAGTCTCTACCAGGCTAAACATACCCAATTCCCTCAACTGTTCCTCATAAGGCCCTTGATCATCATCATCTCTTCTGCAAACCTTCCAGCTTCTCAATCTCCTTGTCAAATTGTGGCTCCCAGAATTGGACTCAGGACTCCAGGTCTGACCAAGGCAGAATAGAGAGGGACTATTACTTCCCTTGATCTGGACACTTGACTTCTGTTGATGCAGCCTAGAATAGCATTAGCTTTTTTTGCTGCTGCATCACACTATTGACTCATGTTCAGCTTGTGGTCTACTAAAACCCCTAGATCCTTTTCACTTGTACCTGCCTGTGGACTGTCTCGCCAGAGTGGTGCATGCTCTAGTTATCTCCCGCTTGGACCACTGCAACGCGCTCTACGTGGGGCTACCTTTGAAGGTGACCTGGAAACTGCATTTAATCCAGAATGTGGCAGCTAGACTGGTGACTGGGACTGGCCGCCAAGACCACATAACGTCGGTCTTGAAAGACCTACATTGGCTCCCAGTATGTTTCCGAGCACAATTCAAAGTGTTGGTGCTGACCTTTAAAGCCCTAAACAGCCTCAGTCCAGAATACCTGAAGGAGCGTCTCATAGAATCATAGAGTTGGAAGAGACCACAAGGGCCATCGAGTCCAACCCCCTGCCAAGCAGGAAACACCATCAGAGCACTCCTGACATATGGTTGTCAAGCCTCTGCTTAAAGACCTCCAAAGGAGGAGACTCCACCACACTCCTTGGCAGCAAATTCCACTGTCGAACAGCTCTTACTGTCAGGAAGTTCTTCCTAATGTTTAGGTGGAATCTTCTTTCTTGTAGTTTGGATCCATTGCTCCGTGTCCGCTTCTCTGGAGCAGCAGAAAACAACCTTTCTCCCTCCTCTATGTGACATCCTTTTATATATTTGAACATGGCTATCATATCACCCCTTAACCTCCTCTTCTCCAGGCTAAACATGCCCAGCTCCCTTAGCCGTTCCTCATAAGGCATCGTTTCCAGGCCTTTGACCATTTTGGTTGCCCTCCTCTGGACACGTTCCAGTTTGTCAGTGTCCTTCTTGAACTGTGGTGCCCAGAACTGGACACAGTACTCCAGGTGAGGTCTGACCAGAGCAGAATACAGTGGCACTATTACTTCCCTTGATCTAGATGCTATGCTCCTATTGATGCAGCCCAGAATTGCATTGGCTTTTTTTAGCTGCTGCGTCACACTGTTGGCTCATGTCAAGTTTGTGGTCAACCAAGACTCCTAGATCCTTTTCACATGTACTGCTCTCAAAGCCAGGTGTCACCCATCTTGTATTTGTGCCTCTCATTTTTTTTGCCCAAGTGCAATACTTTACATTTCTCCCTGTTAAAATTCATCTTGTTTGTTTTGGCCCAGTTCTCTAATCTGTCAAGTCGTTTTGAAGTGTGATCCTGTCCTCTGGGGTGTTAGCGACCCCTCCCAGTTTGGTGTCATCTGCAATTTGATCAGGATGCCCTTGAGCCCATCATCCAAGTCATTGATGAAGATGTTGAATAAGACCGGGCCCAAGACAGAACCCTGTGGCACCCCACTAGGCACTCTTCTCCAGGATGAAGAGGAACCATTGATGAGTCTCCACCTCCATTGTTCTGCCTGGACACTGAGGTCCAGCTCCGAGGGCCTTCTGGCGGTTCCCTCACTGTGAGAAACCAAGTTACAAGGAACCAGGCAGAGGGCCTTCTCGGTAGTGGCGCCCACCCTGTGGAACGTCCTCCCATCAGATGTGAAGGAAATAAGCAGCTATCTTATCTTCAAAAGACATCTGAAGGCAGCCCTGTTTAGGGAAGTTTTTAATATTTAATGCTTTATTGTTTTTAACACTTGAATGGGAGCCGCCCAGAGTGGCTGGGGAAAGTCAGCCAGATGGGTGGGGTATAAATAATAAATTATTATTATTACTACTACTACTACTGGCAAGCCAGGTGTCCGCCATCTTATATTTGTACAGCTGGTTCTTCCTGCCTAAGTTCAGAATCTTAACATTTGTCCCCATTGAAATCCATTTTGTTAGGTTGAGCCCAGTTCTCCAATCTGTCAATGCCATGTCGAAACCCGATTCTGTCTTCAGTGACATTGGCTGCCCTTCCCAGTTTGGTACCATCCAGTGGCGTAGCATGGGGGGTGCAGGGGGGGCCGGCCGCACCGGGCGCAACATCTAGGGTTAGGGGGCGCAAATCCACGGGTTAGGGGGCGCAAATTACTTGCCTTGCCCCGGGTGCTGACAACCCACGCTACGCCACTGGTACCATCTGCTTAGTTGATGAGCATCCCCTGAGTGCCTTCATCCAAGATGTTTATAAAGACATCAAAGGGCCCAGGACAGACCCCTGTGGCATGCCGCCATTGTCACTTTTCCCAGGATGATGGAGAACCATTCGTGAGCAGTCTTTGGGATCTGTCAGTCAACCAGCTACAAATCCATCTTGCGGTTATCTCGTCCAGTTCACATTTTACCAGCTTCTCTGCAAAAATATTATGGGGGACTTTGACAAAAGCCTAACTGAAATCAAGGTACACTTATGTCCACAGTATTCCTATGATCCACGAAACCTGTAATTATCAATAACAGAAACGAGAATCACCTGTCATGACTTGTTTTTGAGAAACCCATGCTCCCGGCATCCTTTCCCGATTGCTCACCGACCAATTATCTGTTTAATTATCCGTTCTGGGATCTTCCCTGGTATCGGTGTCAAGATGACTAGTCGGTGCCGGCATGTCAGCTCCCTATCGCATCTTCCCATCTTCCCTACCTGAAACCTGACCTCCTAGAGCTCAGGCGCATGTTGGCCTTTGCTGGGAGTGTAAATGATTTAAATACAGGAGTCCACCATGACAACACACACACACAACCAGCTCCCAAAACAGAATCCAAAACTGCAGCCCCGCGGATTCTCTGACTTCCTCCCTGCTAATCCATCACCAAATAAAAAGAAAACTTGAAGACCTTGTTATCACCCAGGAGTTCATCCGTTTAATTAAGTATTAATTAGGAAGATTAAGGTGTGTTTTTATGTATGTAAATTTGCTTCTTCTTCTTTATTTTTTCCCTGTATTTTCTTCTTTTCTTGTTCTTAATTGTTTTTTCTTAAATTTTCTTTTTGTAGTATGAGATTGTAAATTCTTTGTATAAGTGTGTAATTTAAATTAATAAAGATTATTAAAAAAAAGGAGTTCATCGGTTGCCCTGGGTGATATTAATGCTCTTGCTGCCGCACGCCACTGCAGGTTGGCTGTTTGCAACATCTGGATCTGAGTTCTGTCTCTGAAGACATTCTTTTAGGAATGGGGTTCCTGTCTGGCTACCTGTCACGCTTTAATGTCTTGCTGTTAATGCTGGACCTGCCTTCATGGGCAATGGGTGCTTAATTGCATTGCACCTGACCCTGGAGCGGGCGAGCCAGAGGGGCAAAGTTCAGGGTCCAAAAGGTTTGTTTTCCACCTCTTCTGGAATGCAAAAAATAGTTCTGGAGTTCAGGTTCCCTTGTTTGGAGCCCCGGGAGATAACCTGGGCTCTCCTCTCCTCATTTGAAATAGTAGTAGTAGTAATAATAATAATAATAATAATTAATAGGCTCATCGCTAAGCCTCTCCACCCCATGCTCTTTACTCAGAAGTAAGCCCCCCCTGATTTTGCTGGTGTGTAACAATGCGGGTGGCGCTGTGGTCTAAACCACAAAGCCTAGGGCTTGCCAATCAGAAGGTTGGCAGTTCGAATCCCCATGACGGGGTGAGCTCCCGTTGCTTGGTCCAGCTCCTGCCAACCTAGCAGTTCAAAAGCATATCAAAGCGCAAGAAGATAAATAGGTACCACTCTGGCGGGAAGGTAAATGGCGTTTCCGCTCGCTGCTCTGGTTCACCAAAAGTGGCTTAGTCATGCTGGCCACATGACCCAGAAGCTGTCTGCGGACAAACGCCGGCTCCTTTGGCCTGAAAGCGAGATGAGCACCGCAACCCCAGAGTCATCCGTAGCTTGACTTAATGGTTAGGGGTTCCTTCACCTTCGCCTTTAACTTCCTTGTCAGCGATTGAGCTCCTCAGATTCGTTTCTTTGCACAGCTTCTCCTAATAGGTGCATTTTTTAAGCTTTAATTTTGGAGCGGTGGTTTGTCTGGGATTTTGAAAGATACCTATACCGTTCCTATACCGTTTTGGAGTATTCCGACTGGATCAATTCGGCTTGAAATACCAAATCCTGTCCCATCCCTGTCCCACGACTGATGTTCCGATGGGTTGGCGGTGATGGTTGGAGGATGGGTGGCGGTCAGTGGATTGAGGTTGAATCCTGACAAGAGAGAAGTACGATTTCTGGGAGCAGGCAAGTGGGTGGGGGGAGGGACTCCCTAGTCCTGATGAAACAACGATTTGACGTTTGGAAGACATTGGAAGGCAGCGCTGTTCAGAGATTTTAATGGTTGATGTTTTAGTGTGTTTTGTTGGGAGAAGCCCAGAGTGGCTGGGCTGACCCGGTCAGATGGGTGGCATATAAATAATAAAATTATTATCATTTATTATGGGCTTCGTAGAGTGCAACTTCCAACGCTCCTCTCTCTAGGTACATTTTTATCACTTTGCCAGCTGGCAACCAAAATTCAGGACCCCATATCCCAGTGGTGGTGAACCTATGGCACGCTTGCCAGAAAGGGCACTCAGAGCCCTCTCTGTGGTCACGTGCGCCGTCGCCCCAGCAGAGTCCAGTTCTGGCACCACAGTTCAAGAAGGACACTGACAAACTGGAACGTGTCCAGAGGAGGGCAACCAAAATGGTCAAAGGCCTGGAAACGATGCCTTATGAGGAACGGCTAAGGGAGCTGGGCATGTTTAGCCTGGAGAAGAGGAGGTTAAGGGGTGATATGATAGCCAGGTTCAAATATATAAAAGGATGTCATATGGAGGAGGGAGAAAGGTTGTTTTCTGCTGCTCCAGAGAAGCGGACACGGAGCAATGGATCCAAACTACAAGAAAGAAGATTCCACCTAAACATTAGGAAGAACTTTCTGACAGTAAGAGCTGTTTGACAGTGGAATTTGCTGCCAAGGAGTGTGGTGGAGTCTCCTCCTTTGGAGGTCTTTAAGCAGAGGCTTGACAACCATATGTCAGGAGTGCTCTGATGGTGTTTCCTGCTTGGCAGGGGGTTGGACTTGATGGCCCTTGTGGTCTCTTCCAACTCTATGATTCTATGAGAGCCGTAGCTTTCGTGCCGGGGGGTGGCACTAGGGCCTGGTGAGTGAATGAGAAGCTGAGCAGACTTTTGATGCGCCAGGGCCTCCTGCCAGTCTGTTTTTCCTACTCGGGAGTAAGCCGCCTTGAGTTCAGCATGGCTTAACTCCCAAGTCAGTAAGCAACCTAAGAAGGGGTTTACATGTTCGCTGGGCTTTCTTGCGGAAGCCAACAAGAGAAATTCATTCCGTGCGATCAAACAGCAGCCAAAGAAATGGCAAAATAATAATAATAATAATACTGCCCTGCCCATCTGGATAGGTTTATTTATTTATTCATATTTGTATGTGCACACGCAGACAATCATTATTATCTCATATTAAAAATTGGGAGAGGGAGGCTCTTCGTACACCCTCCAGTGTACACTAGTGGCCAAAATTGTGAAACCTTCTGGGAAAAATGTACAGTCATACCTCATGTTATGTCCGCTTCATGTTATGTTCTTTCAGGTTATGTCCCGCGGCGACCTGGAAGTACTGGAAAGGGTTACTTCCGGGTTTCACCGCTCATGCATGCGCAGATGCTCAAAATGACGTCACGCACATGCGCAGAAGCGGCGAATCGCAACCAGCACATACGCAGACGTGCTGCTGCGGGTTGTGCTCTTTTCATGTTGCAAACGGGCCTCCGGAACGGATCCCGTTCACAACCAGAGGTACCACTGTATTTCCGAGGTTTGATGGCTCATTAACACCACTTAGTTTTGGAGTAATACTTGTGCTTTTTCCCCCTGTGGGGACACAGGGGGACGCATACCCCTAAACATTTTGCGAATTTAACGGGACAAGAAATTCACTGTCTTTATTTCCCCCGATTTGAACTGTATTTATTTTTCCCTGGTGGTGATTTTCTTGAGCCAAAACGAGAGTACCCCTAAACATTTTTTAAGAAGAAAGCACTGAGTTATGCCATAAAATTATATACTGATGCAAAGATAATTTATTGAAGACCATAATGCAATAGCTTTTATGAAGGATTTTTTATTACAACAGCAGTCATGAAGAAGAAACGTGAAACACATGGGGGGGAAATGAAATATACAGATTAAATTGCCATGTTGGCACTTGGCAATAAATAAGTGGGTTTGGGGCTGCAATTTGGGCACACAATCTCTAAAAGTTTCGCCATCGCTGCCATAGCCCATCGCTTCCACCCCATGACCATCAAAAAAAGGAAGATGATTGGCGCCAGGGTAAACAAGGTTGCCATCACCACCTGGGAGGGACAATGTGGGCATGATGCCGGAGTGTTGACCCAGGGCAAAGATTCTCCCAAAGGTCTTTTCCCTCATTCTTTTCTCTCTCTCTCTTTCCCAGGTGATTACTCTGAGCGCATCTGCGCAAGCCACCACCAGCGAAGGGACGAAGGGTGGCTATTTTAGCTCAGCCCTAGCAGGTGGAATTGCTGTGATGGTAGCCATCCACGTTTCGGGAGGAGTTTCCGGTGAGAAAGGGGAGGTTCTCTCGTGCACGAGCCCCGGGGATGGGGCAGGCACTTGGTCCAGGCTTCGCTCAAAATTTCGGGCAATTGTGGGGGAGAGCTGCAGTGTTTATCTCCTTATAAAAAGGTAAAGGGACCCCTGACCATTAGGTCCAGTCGTGGCCGACTCTGGGGTTGCGGTGCTCATCTCGCTTTACTGGCCAAGGGAGCCAGCGTACAGCTTCCGGGTCATGTGGCCAGCAGGACTAAGCCGCTTCTGGCGAACCAGAGCAGCGCACAGAAATGCCGTTTACCTTCCCGCTGGAGCAGTACCTATTTATCTACTTGCACTTTGACGTGCTTTCGAACTGCTAGGTGGGCGGGAGCTGGGACCGAGCAATGGCAGCAAGCCCTAGGCTCTGTGCTTTAGACCACACTGCCACCTGCGTCCCTCTCACCTCCAGTAAAGATAGAGGTAAAGGTAAAGGGACCCCTGACCATTAGGTCCAGTCGTGGCCGACTCTGGGGTTGCGGCGCTCATCTCGCTTTACTGGCCAAGGGAGCCAGTGTACAGCTTCCAGCTCATGTGGCCAGCATGACTAAGCGAACCAGAACAGCGCACGGAAATGCCATTTACCTTCCCGCCGGAGCGGTACCTATTTATCTACTTGCACTCTGACGTGCTTTTGAACTGCTAGGTCAGCAGGAGCAGGGACCAGACAACGGGAGCTCACCCTGTCATGGGGATTCGAATCGCCGACCTTCTGATCGGCAAGCCCTAGGCTCTGTGGTTTAACCCACAGCGCCACCCGTGTCCCTACTATCTATAAATCCTTTTTAAAAAAGAAGCAGCAGCAGCAAATTTCATAGTTTATTTTGTTTTGCAAAGGCAAGGACACAAGTTAAGCCTGGAAAATCTGAGCAGTGCCGGATTTATGTATAAGCTAATCAAGCTATAGCTCAGGGCCCCACTCTCCTGGGGGCCCCAAAAAAAATTAAAGGGGAAAAAACCTGGATGTACATTTCCAAAATATGAGAAAAAAGAAATATAATAAAACCTACAGTACATACAGCAACAGTGGAAAATGGCATTAGATACCTATGAGGTCCCTAAATTACCATATAGCATATATTCAACACATAAAACAGGGACAATTTGTTGTTGACAAAGGACAGCTGGGCATATAAAGGGCCCATTGCCTTCAGTAGTTTAGGGCCTCATCAAACCCAAATCCGACCCTGAATCTGAGGCGCAGAATACAGTGTTGAACTCAGCCTGCAGCTTGCTGATCATAGCGGCTTTCTAGCTGTTTTGTTTTCAAATATGCAAGTTGCTAGTCCTTAGTGTTGGAACAAAATTTAGGCTTGAAACTGTGCAGGTTAAAAAGATCAGAAGCGGAAAACCTACCTCTGTGGCTCTTTCTGAAACAATACCGTAGCCAAGACACGACCATCCTTTGAAATTCTCTGCCTGTTTCTGAATTTTGTATATGAATTTGTATATGATTTTGCCTGATAGAGACATCTTTTTCAATATGGGTAAATATTTTTATTCAAAGGTTTTCAAAATGTGCAAGCATCCTCCAACACTTCTCTGATGAAAATAGGGATGTCCTATTTCCATAATGATAATTTTACTATTTATACACACCCTACTGGCTTGCCTCAGCCACTCTGGGCAGCTTCCAACATGTATTAAAACATAATAAAACATTAAACATAAAAAACCTTCCCTATACAAGATTGCCTTCAGACGACTCGGGGGTCAGATAACTCCATACCCTCCAACATTTCTCTGGTGAAAATAGGGACATCCTAAGGAAAAGTGGGACATTCCAGGATCAAATCAAAATGGCTTCTCTAAATCAGGGACGTCCCTGGAAAATGGGGACATTTGGAAGGTGTGTCCATAGTAACAAACAATAAGCAGATTCACAACGCAGCTGTTGCAATAATGAACAAGCATATAAACTTTAAAGAGTCCTTCCAGAAAGTCCCATGGGCTGATGGAGGAGTTATAGTTCGGCTAGATTTATTCACATAAGAAATTAAAGCAACACCTTATATTGTCAAAGTCATCTTCTTCTTTTTATCCTTTGGAGCCTTTCATCTTAACAGAGACATCTTTGCAGAGCCACCTTCCCTAATGTGCTATTATATGCACATTTTACCCATGTGTATACGCGACGTGGGTGGCGCTGTGGGTTAAACCACAGAGCCTAGGGCTTGCCGATCAGAAGGTCGGCAATTCGAATCCCCGCGATGGGGTGAGCTCCCATTGCTCAGTCCCTGCTCCTGCCCACCTAGCAGTTCGAAAGCACGTCAAAGTGCAAGTAGATAAATAGGTACCGCTCCGGCGGGAAGGTAAACGGCGTTTCCGTGCGCTGCGTTGGTTTGCCAGAAGTGGCTTAGTCCTGCTGGCCACATGACCCGGAAGCTGTACGCCGGCTCCCTCGGCCAATAAAGCGAGATGAGCGCCGCAACCCCAGAGTCAGCCACGACTGGACCTAGTGGTCAGGGGTCCCTTTACCTTTACCTTACCCCTGTGTATGCATTTTTTGTACACGCGGCTTGGCTGCATTGCAAAATGTGGCGAAGCACAAACTTCAGAGGATGGCTGCGTCCCAGTTTTGTGCATTGTTTCACAAAATGCACATGAAGTTGTTTAAGACCCGCATCAGATTTCTTCTCTGTCACTTATGGGGATGCTTGCTGGGGATTGGGCCGGTCCTGCTTCCCCCGTCCTTCCTCTGAAAAAGACCCCACTTTCCAGACCTGGGGAAGCCACGTGGAGGTGCTTGCCAAAGATTTATTCTCCGGGGATTGATTTCTGTCGACTGCAAGCTCCTTATCGCCTCTGGTCCCTGTTATCTCTGCCAACCTTAGCTCCCGGAGCTATGACTCAGCCACCTTATGACCAGCTACCAGTAATTATTATTAACCCCGATAGCTCAATGGAGCCTCCATGGCCAGTGCCATTGTACCTGCTGAGGCTCTGGTGCAGGGAACAAACATTGGGTTTCAAAGGGCTGTTTCCATCAAGTCCTGGTAGGGAGCTTTACCAAGAGGCATTGGGTGGCCGGAGGCTGTGTCCATTAGGGGGGCATGGGACACTCCTCTGCCAGCCTCGGTCTGCAGCCCCTTTCCTACTTGCAATCGGTCCAGGGAGTGCCCCTGCCTGCCAGCTCCCTCCTCTTGCTCTTTCTTAGTCTCAGTTTTGCCCCTTGTAGAACTCAGAAGGGAAGAGGAGGAGGAGGAGGATGGGGCAAATCTAGAATTAGCTGGCCCTGCCTGTCATTGGCTCTGGCGCCACCTGCTGTTAGGCTCCCTGCCTTCCACCCTACCAGTCTCCAATGGGCACTAGTTTTTGACACGCTTAGTTCTCTCTGCCTGGGGCTGATTTGCACCACTACTCAGAAGAAGAGGTGAGTGTAGTATTATCTATACCATGGGTAGGCAAACTAAGGGCTGGGGGCCGGATCCGGCCCAATCGCCTTCTAAATCCGGACCACAGACAGTCCAGGAATCAGCATGTTTTTACATGAATAGAATGTGTCCTTTTATTTAAAATGCATCTCTGGGTTATTTGTGGGGCATAGGAATTCGTTCATTTCCCCCCCCTCCGCCCAAAATATAGTCCAGCCCCCCCCCCACAAGGTCTAAGGAACAGTGGACCTTTATAGGCCTGGAACGATGGGTGAACTCTCACAAGCGGAGAGGCGTCTACCCCTCACAGAGCTACAATTCACAGCACCCTGAACAAACTGTGGTTCCCAGGATTCTTTAGGGGGAATAAAAAGGTAGAAGGTAAAGGGACCCCTGACCATTAGGTCCAGTCGTGACTGACTCTGGGGTTGTGGCGCTCATCTCGCTTTATTGGCCGAGGGAGCCAGTGTACAGCAGGTCATGTGGCCAGCATGACCAAGCCGCTTCTGGTGAACCAGAGCAGCGCAGGATACGCCGTTTACCTTCCCGCCGGAGCGGTACCTATTTATTTACTTGCACTGGTGTGCTTTCGAACTGCTAGGTTGGCAGGAGCAGGGACTGAGCAACAGGAGCTCACCCCGTCATGGGGGATTCAAACCACCAACCTTCTGATCAGCAAGTCTTAGGCTCTGTGGTTTAACCCACAGCGCCACCCACGTCCCTTTAGGGGGAATAATTTGCTTTAAATATACAGTATGGTGTGTATGTGCAGCCTAAGTTCCTAGTCCTGCAAAGGGCATGTGCAAGACCTAGTGCAATTTCAGAAGTGAGAGACCATACGGAACAGGATTCAAACACGGGGGTCAGTAGAGCATGAGACTTGACCTCAGGGTTGTGTGTTTGAGCCCCACATTGGGCTAAAAAGATTCTTGCATCGCAGGGGGGTGGACTAGATGTCCTTCATGGTCCCTTCCAACTCTATGATTCTACAATTCTACGATTCTCTGTTTCAGGAGGACACTTAAATCCAGCCTTTACGCTCACCATGTGTCTGCTTGGCCAATGCCCCTGGTGGAAACTGCCCATCTTCTCTGTCGTTCAGACTATGGGAGCCTTTTTGGGCGCAGGCACCGTCTACATGCTTTATTACGGTAACGTTATCTCCCAGAGTTTTCACAATGGGGAAAATAAAAGGCGCATTTCAAGCTCGGCTTATGACACATTCCCCTGCCTCGCTGTGTCTGTATTCATTGACTCTGCCCAGCTCATCTTCTGCTGATGTAAAAGTCAATCTTTGGGTTAAAGATATACCAGATATACTAGAAAAGCCATAATCGCGCTGCGAAGTTTGCTATTGACACCCGAAAGCATTCCTTGGCAGCCGTAGGGTATGAAATGGCAAGCGGTGAGGCTCACTGCATATTTATTCATTTACTTAAAACGCTTCTGCCGTAGGAACATGGGTAGGCAAACTAAGGCCTGGGGGCTGGATCCAGCCCAACCGCCTTCTAAATCCGGCCTGCAGGCAGTCTGGGAATCAGTGTGTTTTTGCATGAGTAGAACATGTCCTTTTACTTCAAATGCATCTCTGGGTTATTTGTGGGGCATAGGAATTCGTTCATATTTCCTCCCCCAAAAAAATCTAGTCCAGCCCCTCACAAGGTCTGAGGGACAGTGGACCGGCCCCCTGCCGAAAAAGTTTGCTGACCCCTGCGTAAGAACGATGACACGTAGGGAGAAAAAACCCCTGCCTGCAGGCTTTCAATCTAAAGAGACACAGCACAAAAGGAAAAAGGGATGAGGAGGGGAGAGGATGAACCAAAATGCAGTGGAATCAGATGCCGAAGTTACATGGTAGTCCTTGTAATGACCAGTTGGGAATGTAAACTGGTCAGGAATCACATGAAGGTGGATTCTCAGCTGAACTGACGGAGCAGGGCTGCTGCTCTCCTTTCCCCCTTCGGCTTCTCTTCCTATAAAGCTAAGCCTCATGGTCACTGGCTTTTCTCTCCGCAGACGCCATCCACAGCTATAGCAATGGGACCCTTGCAGTCACCGGACCCCGTGAAACCGCCTCCATCTTTGCCACCTACCCAGCTCCCTACCTGTCGCTTGGCAACGGCTTCTTCGACCAGGTAGGGCCAGCCGTCCCTAGAACTCCCAGCAGTGCCCAGAGACAGAAGCATCCTTCGCTCAGGGCGATGCATCCCATATGTCCAATTGCTCTGCCGCTGCTCCATTCATTTGCCGTGGCTCAGTGGTTAGAGCACCAGACTTGCATGCAGAAGGTCCCAGGTTCAATCCCGGCACCTCCAAGTGTGAGTAATAATAATAATAATAATAATAATACAGTGGTACCTCGGGTTACAGACGCTTCAGGTTACAGATGCTTCAGGTTACAGACACTCCGCTAACCCAGAAATAGTACCTTAGGTTAAGAACTTTGCTTCAGGATGAGAACAGAAATCGCGTGGCAGCAGTGGGAGGCCCCATTAGCTAAAGTGGTACCTCAGGTTAAGAACAGTTTCTTCTTAAGAACAGGCTTCTGGAACGAATTAAGGTCTTAACCTGAGGTACCACTGTAACAACAACAACAACAAAACAACAACAACAACAACAATAATAATAATAATAATAATAATAATAATAATAATTTATTATTTATACCCAACCCATCTGGCTGGGTTTCCCCAGCCACGCTGGGGAGCTTCCAGCAAAATATTAAAATACAATAATTCTTCAAATATTAAAAGCTTCCCTAAACAGGACCGCCTTCAGGTGTCTTCCAAAAGTCAGATAGTTGTTTATTTCTTTGACATCTGGTGGGAGGGCATTCCACAGGGCGGGTGCCACTACCGAGAAGGCCCTTCTCAGATTGGTGCTGAGTCTCCAGGGCCTAGATAAACGAATAGGCTGGCCTCTGGTGGTTTCCGATGCCCCTGTGCTTTGGTTGATGTCCTGTCCTCCCTCCACCCTCTTCCCCTCATCAGGTCCTGGGCACCGGGGTGCTGATATTGAGCATCCTGGCCATTATCGACTCCCGCAACAGGCGCGTCCCACATGGACTGGAGCCCATCGCGGTGGGCTTGCTGGTCACCGCTCTCGGCTTGGCAATGGGAGCCAACTGTATGTGCGCCATTAACCCAGCCCGGGACCTGGGCCCACGGCTCTTCACCTACCTGGCCGGATGGGGGCCTCAGGTGTTCAGGTGAGTGCGCGAGGGGCAAGGAGGCGGTACCCAGTTGCATGTGCGCGCTTGTCAGGGACTGGGGAATGGTGGAGACCTTCTCCCCAGCCTGACCTTTCCAGAGAAGGTGACAATTCAGAATTACTACAGGGGGTTGAGGAAGGTCACAGCTCAGAGGCGGATGAGGGGGAAAGCTGGGAAATAATGGGAGAGGAGGAAGAAGAAGAAGCAATAGAGGGGCGATAGCTGACGGACACAGTGTCTTTAGAAAGCATTCCAGACCCACTGCCACGGTATGGTTCACGGGCGATCGAAATCCCGGCTGGGGACGTCAGGACCGGGGGTAAGATGGCGGGGTGGGAGCAGGAATGGGGGTCTAGGAGTCAGGAGTCTGGAAGCCAAGAGTCCGAGGGTCAGGAAGCAAGGAGTCACGAAGTCAGGGGTCTGAGGATCAAGAAGCAAGGAGTCAAGGAGCCAAACGCAGCAAGGCAGTAAACGTGTTGCTGTGGCAAAGAGCCGAAGGGAAATGCTGACCCTTATATCCCTTCCCGGCTCTTGCCACCAGGTGCTGTGAGTTACCAATTGACCTCACCTGTGCGGCCGCGCCTTGCCTCTTCAGAACAAACTTAGGAAGGCCCCAGTCCTGCAAAGTCCTACTGGTCACAGGGCCTGGCTCCTGCACACACACCTAACACTAACCTTCTCCTAGAACCTGGCGAGCCTTGAAAGTAGGAGAGCAAAGAGCTCAAAGGCAAAGGGCACCTTTCACCACCTGTAGTGGTGATGCGTGATGGGAGAGAGGGAGGGGGTGGAGACTCACTCAGGGCAATACCATTATTCCAAGAGGCTGCCTTTCCAAGCCCCTCTCTGTGAATATTGAATAAGAAGCAGTTGGTAGGGACTTTTCCCTGTCTTGATCCTCAGCCACCTGACAACATACAAGGTCTCTTTGTGCTGATGAGCAGGGCAGGTAAAGGTAATGGGACCCCTGACTGTTAAGTCCAGTTGTGACTGACTCTGGGGTTGCAGCGCTCATCTCTCTTTACTGGCCGAGGGAGCCGGCGTACAGCTTCCGGGTCATGTGGCCAGCATGACTAAGCCACTTCTGGCCAACCAGAGCAGTGCATGGAAACGCTGTTTACCTTCCCGCCAGAGAGGTACCTATTTATCTACTTGCACTTTGACGTGTTTTCGAACTGCTAGGTGGGCAGGAGCTGGGACCGAGCAACGGGAGCTCACCCTGTCGCGGGGATTCGAACCGCCGACCTTCTGATCGGCAAGTCCTAGGCTCTGTGGTTTAACCCACAGCGCCACCTGCGTCCCTGAGCAGGGTAGAGCAATGGTCGATTTGGAGGGTCCACAGCCATGGCCCATGTAGGGAGGTTTCCATAGAAAGCCACTGCTGGGATAGCTCAGTCGGTAGAGCATTAGGCTCTGAATCTCAGGGTTGTGGGTTCGACACCCACCTTTGGGGGGGGAATTAACCCTGCATTGCAGGGGTTGGACTGACGTGCAGGGTCCCTTCCAACTCTGCGATGCTATGATTCTGTGACACACTCACCTCCTTTCCAAATTGTCTCCACACGGCTCCATCTCTGCCACCAGTCACCACTCTGCTTTATCTTTCCAGTGCTGGAAACTACTGGTGCTGGGTTCCGGTCGTGGCTCCGATGGTGGGGGCCACGATTGGGACGGCTCTGTATGAGCTCGGGGTGGAGTTTCACCACCTGCCGTCCCAGGACGAGGAAGAGACCTTGACCACCAAGAAGCATCACCCAGGGACGGAAAAGGATACGGAGATCTCGATTTATGCCGTGAATAAATACGCAGAGGATTGGACAGGCGGGAGCACAGGCAACCCCCCAGACGGGGGCCATAACAAATTGGAAACTTCAAGTTCCTTTTAAAATGGGACAAGCGCCGGAAGAGGCGAGAGACTTAATCCTTTCGTTTTTATATATTGGATGGAGTTGTTGCTGTTGGTTTTATGACTGATGTAGGTCTCTGGGCGTGTGAATTCCACACAAAAGAGCGATGTTTTGGAATGACAAAGGACCGCTTTCCCCATAGATTAAGGTTACCAGACATCCCCGTTTCCTGGGGACAGTCACCGGATTTACAAATCAGTCCCCATACAAAATCCACTGAATCCCCGGATTCATTGAAAAAAAGTATCTGGTAACCTTACCATAGATGAACTTTATCGCTTGCTAAAATCATCACCTGAGGTCGTGCGCAGAATGACTCCCACCTTTGGGGATTATACAATGGCAGCAACCAGAGACGGGGCCTTTTTTTGTGGTGGCACCACTGCGGAACGACCACTCTTGAAATATTTGCTCAGTGCCGACTTTTTTTATTGTATTGGGGGAGGAAGGCTCTATCCTGCGGGGCAGGGGCTGTCGTGGTTTCACCCTAAAGAATTCTGGGAACTGTAGTTCTATTCCCTTCCCAGAACAACATTTGACAGAGTGGTTCAGCAATTCATCCTTTTTTGCAGTGAACTCTGGGAATTGTAGCTCCGTGAGGGGAGTCTCCGAACAACGCTCAGCAACCAGAGCAAACTACAGCTCCCAGAATTATTTGGGGGGAAGCCATGACTGTTTTAAGCAGTATCATAGCTCTTTAAATGTGTTTTGTGAATATGGCCTTAATACACAGCGTTACGGTTGCGGAACACGACAGGAAGGAGGATGGGGATGAAACTAGAATGAGTTGACTTAGCCACTCATTGCCTCTGGCGCCACCTGCTGTCAGGCTTCCTACCTTCCGCCCCACTAGCCCCAATGAGCACCAGCCACCATTGGCTGGGGAAGGCTGCCAATCACCATAGACCAAGAGGAAGTTGCTGCCTTCCTCCTATTCCCATCAGCCGTAGCCAATAGGGCCAATGGTCAGGGATGATGGAAGTTGTAGTCCAGTAGCGTCCGGAGGTACGTAGGTTCCCCCCATTCCTGAAGCTAGACAATAGTGAGTTACATGGAGCAATGGTTTGCCTTGGCACAATGCAACTTACTTGACCTAATGCTGCTATGATGACTTGTGTTCTGTGTGTGTGTGTGTGTGTGTGTGTGTGTGTGTTCTGTTAATTTTACTCGATGTTTTCTTGCTGCTGTTCTGATGGATGAATTGTTTAAATGCTTTTTATCGATCGCTGTATTGTAACGAGATGAAAGGATGAAATAAAATGAAAAATGGTTTCTAAAATACGTAGGGTGCTGGGAAAAGCCCTCTAACACAGAGGTGGGAAACTTGGCCCCACTCTGTACATCGTTGAACTCCAGCTCCTACCTTCCCTGACCACTGGATCCCCAGCCCTGCTTTTTACCTCTGTGGGTACATTTAATATGTGATTCCTGATTGGTTGGGACGGGATTGTTCTAGGACAGCAGAAGAATCTGTTCCTGAGCTCCAACTCCCATCATCCCTGACCATTGGGCCACACTGCCTGGGGCTGATAGGAGTTGGAGTCCAACAGCTCCTGGACGGCTACAAGTTTCCCATCTCTGCTGTGACACAAAAGGCGTCTTAATTCTCTCCACCCCCGTCAGGTTTTGGCTCTCTCAGGTGCCGCACTCTGTATATGCTCAGAGGTGCTCTGTGGTTGTTAAACTGCATCTTTTAGAACCACATCCCAAAAGGGATTCCAAGGCTTAATCTGGGTGCAGGATGGAGACCAGGCTACACCTTGGAGTGTGTCAGGTGGCAAAGACCGAGAGCCTTGCTATGGGAGGGTGAAGAACAGTACCAACCTTTCTTCCAGAGCTGAATGGGTGCGTTCCACAGCTAGGTCGAAAAACTAAACTACAGCAGCGCCGGGCAGTACCTTGAAAACCTGTCATTCTACTTAACGACATAAGACATTAGGGGTTCCCCACCAAAGTCACACCCCAGCGAGGTTGCCGGTTGAGGAATGGCGAATAGCAGCTCCACCCTGTGAGGTAGGCTTAGACTGACAGACAGTGGCTGACCTGAGGTCATTCAGGGTGCTTCATGGCTGAGTGGGAGGATTCGAACCCTGCTCTCTCCCAGCTCTGAATCCACTGGGCCACATTTGCTTTCATTTGTATGTGTGTGTGTGTGTAATGAAACCCAATGAAGTATCTTCCTATACATATAGGAATGCAAGGCTGTCGTCGCACAGAGTCACAACCCCAGATCTGCATGAAGTCAGGGAGGGCAGGGTGGAGAGGAAGAGGAGGCAGCAGAGGGATGGATGAAGCCGGGGTGGAAGGGCACAGAGGGGCTGGGAGGACACTGGAGTATGGTTACCAGATGTCCCCATTTCCCGGGGACAGTCCCCAGATTTACAAATCTGTCCCTGGACAAAATCCGTCCCTGGAATGTCCCCGGATTTCATTTAATGTGGAAGCCGCCCAGAGTGGCTGGGGAAACCCGGACAGATGGGCGGGGTACAAATAATAAATTATTATTATTATTATTATTATTATTATTATTATTATTATCCCCAGATTTATATTTTTAGTGTTGTAGATTTATTAGTAGGGAATGAAAATTGCGTGATTGGTTCAATGGCACAAGACACATCATATGGGGACTTCCGGCGAGGCAAAATGCCAGGCACCACGGCAGCGAGCAGCTCCTGAAGCCAGCAAGAGCCAACTGCGCTACCAGGCTGGCTCCAGGCTGCTGAGACTGCCGCTGCCACCACCACTGCCGAGAGGGAACCGGGGATGCCCGGCGCGTCAGCTGGGGGAACCATTGACAGCCCCCTCCCGGCGACCCAAATCGAGCTGGGAGCGAGAGTGCCTGGCCACCCGGCCAACTGCCCAGTGGCGCTCCAGGGTTAGGAAAACCCTGGAGCCAACGCAGGGAGGAGGAGGAGAGAAGGAAGAGAGAGAAAGAGGAAGGAGAAAAAAGAGGGGAGCCCCGACTTTGCTGCACCGCTGCCGCCACATAGGAAAGGTAGGGAAGCACTGGGAGAGCAAGGACACATGGCTGAGCCCAGGCCTGACCTGAGCCTACTCCACGGCGGCTAGAGCTCCAAGAGAGCAGGCTGGGGCCCAGAGGAAGGCTGTGCAACAGAAGTGTGATAGGAATTTTGAGGTCTTAGATACAGTGGTGCCCCGCAAGACGAATGCCTCGCAAGACGGAAAACTCGCTAGACGAAAGAGTTTTCCGTGTTGGAGGTGCTTCGCAAAACGAATCTCCTATGGGCTTGCTTCGCAAGACGAAAAATGTCTTGCGAGTTCCTGAGGTTTTTTCCCCCTCCCCCCCCTTTTTCTAAGCCGCTAAGCCGCTTATCAGCTGATCCAATAAGATGATAAGCCGCTAAAAGCCGCTAATAGCGCTAATCCGCTAATCCGTCAATGGGCTTGCTTCACAAGACGAAAAAACCGCTAGACGAAGAGAATCACAGAACGGATTCTTTTCGTCTTGCGAGGCACCACTGTATATGGTAATGTTTATAATCGTACCAACCAAGCACGTACATAGATCAGCACAGGAAGACCGGCCTGGAACCATTTTGATTCCTAAACTGAGCAAATGTCTGCAAGGTCAAAGTGGGAAACCTCCCATTGTCTCTTACCTCACAAATCCTGTCTTAAGGGCACATTTAAGATATGAAACAGCGTGTGAGCCTGTGACCTGCCCCGGGAATTAAGTATTTATCATTACAAAAGACTGGCCAGGCTCCCCAGGCAATCCAATCAAGTACAGTGGTACCTCGCAAGAGGAATGCCTCGCAAGACGAAAAACACGCAAGACGAAAGAGTTTTCCGTTTTTTGAGTCGTTCCGCAAGACGAATTTCCCTATGGGCTTGCTTCGCAAGACGAAACGTCTTGCGAGTTCTTGCGAGTTTGTTTCCTTTTTCTTAAAGCCGCTAAGCCGTTAATAGCCGCTAAACCGCTAAGCCGTTAATAGCCGCTAAGCCGCTAATAGCCGTGCTTCGCAAGACGAAAAAACCGCAAGACGAAGAGACTCGCGGAACGGATTAATTTCATCTTGCAAGGCACCACTGTAAACTGCCAGACAGGAGATAAACAATGACAGGAGAAAAACAACATTCAAATTTCTGTTTTAGACCGCCTTTTCTGTGATGTAGGTATGATGTTTCTGGGGGTGGTCTTAATCTACAGGGTGGCAATTTCAAAAGTCTTTATGAGGCCTTGCGCGCCATTGTTCTGGGTCCCTCCTCTCTCCTGCGTGTGAGGGGAGCACCCTGTTGCAACAGATCAGTAAAGATCAAGCTTACTAGCTGCTTTGCTTCTCAATATTCTCTGGTTGGCCTTGTTAAGTCGTGGGTTGACATAGCAGCCGGCACAGCGATTTCTTCAAGTAGCTCTTTATTATGGTAAGCTGGAATACAACAACTGACTGCGACAGCTCAGCCGGCCTGTATTTATAGGCAGCCGGCTGTCAACATTGTAACCACAACAGCCCAGAGTTCCCGCCTAAAATAACTGCCGCGGACCTGAGTGAAAACTATCTACAGACCTGAGTGAAAACTATATACAGTATCCCCCTGTTGGCCCAGGGTGAAACTACACTACATAACACCCCTCCCCACCGAGATAAGGCGTTAGTTACAATCGTAATGGTTTCCTTATATACAGCACTACGCGTAATGGTTCCATTAAGCACAAAAGCATATCGGTTACATTTCCCATACTTAGACCAACAGTGATACCTGTCCAACAACATAGTCCTTTAAATAAGTTGGGCGCTTGGAAACTCTGCCAGACCGCCGGGAACTGGTAGCCAAGTCCGGAGGGCCACACAGTTCTCGCTGAGGCTGTGGTGCGACCCTAGGTGGCGTTGGAACCAACTCCCCTGGATCCGCTGCTGTGGGTGGAGCCTCCGCAAGTGGAGTGGTCTGAGTCTGTTCTGAAATGGCTTGGTTCGGCTCCACGCTGGCAGTTTGCGAGGGAGGTGTAGGTGGGGCCTCGCCATCTGTACGTGTCTCTTCTGGAGCCGCAAGCGCAGTTGGGGGCACCTCGGTAGTGTCCAAGTCCCCAACCCTGCGCCTAAGCTGGTCTATGTGCCGTCGCCACAAGCGTCCGTCTTCGAGTGCCACCTGGTACGAGCGAGGTCCAGTGACTCCCACTACTGTGGCTGGCACCCAAGGGATGTCCCCCACATAGTTCCGGGCAAAGACCTGGTTTCCTGGGACAAATGACCGTGGTGCGTTGGCACAGCCTGGGGGTTCAGCCACGGCAAAGTCTGGGTGTAGCCGGTCGAGCGGTGACCTGAGGCGGCGGCCCATAAGCAGTTCAGCAGGACTCCTCCCTGTGGCCGCATGAGGGGTGATGTGTTGCACAAACAAGTATTCGGCGACCCGCTCATGCCAGTCTCCCCGGTCCAGGCGCGCCAGTGCCTCTTTTGTCGAGCGCACCATTCTTTCCGCTTGCCCGTTGCTGGATGGATGAAAGGGTGCCGTTAGGGCATGGCGGATGCCCAGTCCCAAAAGATACCGCTCAAACGTGCCTGACGTGAACTGCGGTCCGTTGTCAGAGACAAGGACATCAGGACACCCATGCGTTGCAAACAGGCCTCGCAGCACCCGGATGACAGCTTCGGTAGTGGTGGAGGGCATCAGTGCGACCTCCAGCCATTTGGAATAGGCGTCCACCACTACCATAAAGGTCCGGCCGTGAAAGGGGCCAGCCAGATCGATGTGCACCCTCGACCAGGGTGTCTTTGGCGTCTCCCAGGTGTGTCCCTTAGCTGCCGGTGGTGCAGGCCTCGACTCCTGGCACGCTTGACAGGCGGACACCCAGGCAGTGATGGCATCGTCCATATTAGGCCACCAGACGTAACACCGAGCCAACGCCTTCATTTTGACAATTCCCGGGTGGCCAACGTGCAGAGCCTCCAGGACGCGCTGACGGAGTCCCTGGGGAATCACGACGCGGTCTCCCCACAGCAGGCAGCCACGATGAGCTGAGAGTTCATGTTGTCTGGTTGCGAAGGGCTGGAACTCCGATGCAAAAGGCCCTTGTGGCCACCCCCTCCACACCCAGTTGAGCACCCGGCTGATGGTGCGATCCTGGGCAGATGCGGAGGCCACAGTGGCAGCCGATACAGGCGCTGCCGGAAGATCCTCAATCAGAAGGAGCGATGAAGCTGGAGCCGGGTCTTCCACAAATGCTGGAAGAGGGCAACGGCTGAGGGCGTCGGCATGGCCCATCGATTTCCCCGGGCGATGGATGAGCCGGTAGTGGTAGGCAGCCAGGAAAACAGTCCATCGCAGCATGCGTGGTGAGAGGACCGGTGGAGTTGGACGATCACCGGCGAGGAGGCCCAGGAGTGGCTTGTGGTCAGTGATGAGGTCAAAATTCCTGCCATAGAGGTATTCATGGAACCTCTTCACTCCAGCCACAAGTGCCAATGCCTCCTTGTCGAGCTGGCTGTAATTC